TTGGGTGCATATAGGTCAATAATTTTTTTTTTTGGTGTATTTCTCCTTTTATTATTATGGAATGTTCTTCTTTATATCATTTGATCAATGTAGGTTTGAAGTGTACTTTGTCAGAGATAAGTATTGCTTCTCCTGCCTGTTTTTCGGGGCCATTGACTTGGTAAATCCTCTTCCAGCCTATCATCCTAAGCCTATACTTATTTCTGTTGGTGAGATGGGTCTCCTGTAAGCAACAAATTGTGGGGTATTCCTTTTCAATCCATTTCATCAAACGGTGCCTTTTGATGGGGGAATTAAGTCCATTAACATTAAGTGTTAGTACCAATAGGTGTGTGGTGATTCCTGTCATTTAGTTGTCTTAGTTGTTTGAAAGTTTGATTGTGTATACCTAAGTTGAGGTTACGCTCTACTTTCTTGCTTTTTCTTTTCCTGTAGTTTGGTGCTGCCTGCCCTTTCATGGTTATGTTGGGTTTCACTTTCTGTGTGCAGAATCCCTTGAAGAATCTTTTGTAGTGGTGGTTTTGTGGTCACATATTGTTTTAGTTTCTGCTTCTCATGGAAGACTTTTATTGCTCCAGCTATTTTGAATGATAGTTTTGCTGGGTAGAGTATCCTGGGGTTGAAGTTATTTTCATTCAGTGCCCGGAAGATCTCACCCCAAGCTCTTCTTGCTTTTAATGTTTCTGTTGAGAAGTCTGCTGTGATTTTGATGGGTGTACCTTTGTATGTTTTTGTTTTTTTCTCTCTTACAGCCTTCAATATTCTTTCTGTTGTCTCTGTACTTGTTGTTTTAATGATAATATGCCTTGGGGTATTTCTAATTATGATCTGGTCTGTTTGGTGTTCTGGAGGCCTCTTGCATCTGTATACGAATAGTTTTCTCTACATTTGGGAAATTTTCTGTTATTATTTTGTTGAATTTATTACACGTTCCCTTTGCTTGCACCTCTTTTCCTTCTTCAATGCCCATGATTCTCCCGTTTGGTCTTTTAATGGAGTCAGTGAGTTCTTACATTTTCTTTTCATAGGTCTTGAGTTGTTTAACTAATAGTTCTTTGGTTTTTCCTTTAATCTTTGAGTTCTGAGATTCTGTCTTCTGTTTACTCTATTCTGCTGTATTGGCCTTCCATTTTGTTTTGCAATTCTGTTTCATTCTTTTTTCTGAGGTTTTCCATATCCTGAGGCTCTTCCTCTTTAATGTTATCTATTTTTGTCCTGAGTTCCTTTATCTCTTTATTAATCATGTTCTTTGTTACATCTTGGTGTTTTTACAGTGCTTCTATGTTTGTTTTATTTCTTCTTGTGCTTTTTCAAATTCTCTATTTTTGTTGTCTTGGAATTTCTTGGGTGTCTACTGTACATTTTGGTTGAACATATCCAGTATCATCTCCATAAAATTCTCATTGATTACCTGTAGTAGTTCTTCTTTTAGATAGTTCTTCTGGACTTCATTGGGTTCTTTGGGATAGTTTATCTTCATTTTGTTGGAGTCTGGATCTAAGTATCTGTTTTCTTCATTTCCCTCTGGTTCCTGTACTAATTTTTTGCTGTGGGGAAACTGGCTTCCTTGTTTTTTCTGTCTTCCCATCATTGCCCTGGTGTTGTTATTGTCCTTGTATTGTGTGCAATTAAGTATTTTCTAGCTTGTAATAACAAAGGTGATATTTAGAATGCAAAGGTTAGAGATGGAAAGCAAAGAAGTTAAAGAGAAAGGGAAAAACATAAACAAGTAGAAAAAACAAAACAAACAAAAAAGTTTCAAAGATATATGCAGGGAGAGATAGTGTACTAATCAACAGTAAGCTGAACAGGCATTAGAGAAACAGAGAGAGGATTGAAAAAAAATAAAAATGAAATAAAATAAAATAAGAAAATAAAAATAAAAAATAAATAAATGAAAAAAAATCTCCAAGTTCCAATGCAATAATGTTTCAGTCTTAATAATTTTGGTGTTCGTCCCTCAGCCTACAATCCTGGAGATGGTGTCTCAGAAGTAGTTCTGTCATTGTCTCCTCAAAGGGGAAAAAAACTAAAAAAAAAAACAAAACAAAACAACACAAAACAAAAGGAACCCCAGGAAGTGTCCCAAGATCAAATGCAATACAGTTTCAGTAAGTTTTTCAGCATGCAGGTGTAGTTCAGTTGTTATCTCATCAAAAGTAGGGAGAAAGAAAAAAAAAGAGTCTGGAGACAGTTTTGTGAATGGCTATCTGAGGCTGTGGCTCACCTGCCTGCTGCTGTCAGCCTGATGTTGCTGTAGGCTTTATTTATGCAGATCTCAGGGGTGAGCTTAGCACTCACCTAGTCCCTCAGGCTTTGTTTACTTAGAGTTCTCCTGGGCATGACTGCACTGCTCCAAGCTTTCCCCTTTCTAAGCACACTGGGGGAGTTGACACTGCACCAGCTTTCTTAGGCCTGCATGTTTATTTACAGTTCACATGGGAAGTGGGTCTTCCCCTCTCTCCTGTGGAGTTTTCCTCCCACTGCCGCTTTTACAAGCTTTTCTGCTCCTGATTGCTGAGTGTGTGCCGCCACTCCTGCCTTCTCCAGCCGGTTTGTTTATTTACAGTTCCGTGAGGGATTTTCCCTCCCCCCCTTCAGCACTCAGGGCACCCCACCCTCTTTGCTACGTGTCTTTTTTGTTGTTATTGCATATTATTCAGTTTTTTTCTCTTTTTTCCCTGGGTGGGGTCGGTCTGTCCAGGGGGCTATGCTGATCTGGCCCAGGGTTGTCTGTGAGAGTACTGTGTACCACTTAGCTCATCTTGTGATCTGCATCTTCCCAAGCCATCTGGGTGCTGCTGTCTGGTGGCAGCACGGGAGCCCTCCTGGTTTCTCTGTTTAATGTGAAGTGGAGATGCTATGCGCAGGCTGGAGGTGTGGAGGAGTCAAAGTTTTGCCTCTTCTCAGTGGTTTTCCCTGTAAGGTGTATCTCCACTGTCTCTCCAAGATTTTACTTTAGGAGTCACGCTTCTGCTTCCTCCCTCTAGCCGACATCTTGGAATCTTACCTTACCTATCTTATAGGCACACTGAGAAAAGAAAATGAGGCAAAGTCTATATAAGCTACTTTGTAAACTAAAAGAAGGCCATTCAGTTCAGATTCTGCTATTATATTTGTACTCAGACAGCCACCGTGTAGCTAGAGTCTTGCTTTAAATCAATTGGCATCAATTGATTGGATCAATTGGCATCTTTAAAAAGGGATAATCTTTAGTCTAAAGGAGATGGTAGGTGCAGTGCATTTGAGTTACTATGACAAAAATACCATATACTAGGTAGCTTATATACATCAGAAATTTATTTCTCATAGTTCTGGAGGCTGGGAAGTCCATGACCAAAGCATTGGCACATTTGGTGTCAAAAGATGACAACTTCTTTTTGTTTCCTCACATAGTGGACAAACTCCCCCAGACTTTATTATTATTATTTTTTGCTTTAGTTATTTTTCCAGATAGGGTCTCACATTTTTGCATGGGGACTGGCTCAGACCATGATCCTCCTATGTATGCCTCCAGTGTGACTGGGATTATGGGCACCACAATGTCCAGTTTATTGATTGAGATGGGGTTCTTGCAAAGTTTTTACCTAGGCTGGCGTCAAACCACGATTCTCCCAATCTCTGCTTCCTGTGTAGCTTGTATGATAGGCAATTTTAATCTCCCCTCCTTTCTTTCTCCCCTCCTCCCTCCCTTCTTTCATTCCTTCTCTGTGCAGGAATTTCCCTGTCCTCATTTTTTCCCTGCTAACTCCACTGTGCTCATGAGGACTTGTCATGGGTGCCACTTTGCCTGGGAGGTCTTCCCTGGCTTTCCTCTCACTTACACAGAATCAAATGATCTGCTTGACTCTCAGTCTCCTTCTTGAGATATGTGTCTTTCAAATCTCCCCATTTCTGGCCAGTCTGAAGATGCAACTTAAGTCAAGCCAGATTTCACAAAGTTTATTTCTGTTTCAATCCTGAATACCCTTTACCAAATGCTAAGTGAGGCACTGTAAAGTGCACAGGAATGGTCAGGTCAGTGTCTGCACTTAAAGAGGTTATCAAAGTGGGGATGATTAGTACAGTAATAAGCAGAAAGAGACAGAGGTGACAAATGCAATGAGTTGTAAATAAGAGAGTAGTATTAGAAAGAGATAGAGGGAAGGAGAGTGGGGGAGAGAGAGAGAGAGAGAGAGAGAGAGAGAGAGAGAGAGAGAGAGAGTGTGTGTGAGTCTGTCTGTTGTGAGGAACATTCAGGGAAGGCTTCAGGGGGGGAAAAGACATTTGACACTATCTTCAATGGACAGGTTGGGTTGGGTTTTGACAGAAAATGGGAGAAAGAGTGAGGTGCTAAATATCCACCTGCAGCTCCCTACCTCCCTGTCTCTTAGGGCAACCTTCTGTCTCTGTAAATCAGGCAGTGCACAATTAAGCTTCAGTAGTTTTGATGAGACACCTGCACAGCGTCCTTGCTATCTGCTACCTATCACAGTCACTGATGTGCTTGTTCCTTTCCACAGGAGAGCCAGAGTTGGGTTCCATGGTTGTCTTGTGAGGAGAGTATGGATAGGAATATTAAATAGTGGTCATCCAGGGACACAAAGCCAGCTAGTAGCTATAGAATGTCTGTGACATTCTGTCTATCAGAGATTTTTGGTGGCTGTTCTTGTACTCTGAACCACACTCTTCACTCACCTTTCCATGCTTCTATTCAATGATGGCTGATTCCAGGTCCATTTCCTGTGCCTTTTAAAAATTGCTGTGTGATCACCACACATGTCCAAGTCTGATGACATCTGGGGATCTACATTGTCTTTCACTGAGTTACACTGAAACATGAAGACATTTGTTGACGAGTTAAGAACAAGAAGGGATGTGCATCCTGAGTGTATGATGTCTTTACTGCTATGTAATCCACTAAGTATGTCCAGGAGCATTTCCCAGCTTGGGTAGCCACTGAGAGAGCAGGGCTCGTGTTTTCAATGGACACCAACTTTATCTGGCCTGTCTTCTTACAGAGTCAACATTACTCAGAGCCGCAGTTCCCACTCCTTGAACAAACAGCTCATCATTAACATGGAGCCCCTGCAGCCCCTGCTTCCTTCCCCCATTGAGCAGGAAGAGGAACTTCCTCTGGTTAAGGGTAAGTCAGCCACTTCATTCCAGAGGCCTGTTTCAGAGAATGGGAGGTTTATAGTTAAAAAATATTTTTTAAATTACATGTGAAAGCAGTAATGATGTTAGAGCTGCATTGTCCAGTAAGCTGCACTAGCCATGAGTAGTGGCCTTATTTAAAAGTAAGTTTAAATTTATTAACATTTAAAATCTAGTTCCTCAGTCCCACTAATCAGATTTCCAATGTCCAGTACCCACATGTGACTGATGGCTGCCATATTGGCTGAGAACATTTCCATTATTTTAGACAGTCCTGATGAAAGGTTATGTTTTCCAGAATAATCACAATTACATTAGTCATAAAGAATTCTCCACAAGTGTATCTACAGTTCTCATTTTCTTTCTGCCTTGGTATTTTCTCAGCCTCTTGTTTCTTTTTCCACAGATAACTTGTCTGATAGTTTTGATACAAACTAAATATGTAGTATTCACTTCAACCCCAAAGTTATTATATTTTTTAAAATGTTAATGTGGTAATACATATGTTTATAGGCTTCTTCTCCCTCTGCCCCTTCTTTTCTTCTTCTCTTCCTCCTCTCGCCCTCCCCTCTTTCCCTCCTCCTTCCTCTTCCTCTTCCAGTATCTCACTGTACTGCTTATTGTAGACATCTGGTGAGGTAAATCTCATACTGTTATTAATTTCAAAGTAAATTAACAATGAATACACACAGAATAAAGTTATTAGAATCCTGAATACAAACACAACCTGCTATTCCTTAACTTTATGTGAGTTTTAGTTTCATCACTGCAAATCTGGATACAAGAGGGGAGGCCTCCCTGTCCCCAAAAGATCACCTTTACCTCAGCTTCAAGTTAAGAATTCCTTCCATAGGAGAGAACTCTTCAGTTCATAAGAAGAATTTTTCTTGGTGTGCAAATATACTTCAGAGAGGCAGCAATAACCAGTTCATACTGTTAAATGTAAAGAATTTTAGTAAAACTTTTCCTGAAACAATGCTGTGGTGGTTGGAAGGGAAACTGGTAAGTGGATGCCAAAAATCCTGAGTAGAGAGAACATGTATAAAATATGGAGGGTGGGATTTCAGAAGACACCTTCTGTCCTCAGCTGGACCTTAAGAGAAAATAATTATTAGAACTAAATTGTTATTATGTTCCTTGCGATCTCTCTTGACAAGTAACTCTGTAAGTTCCATGCTAAATTAATTTTCTTAGTTCAAGAATCTCTGGCTCCATGTTGCTTGTCTTTTTTTGTGTGTGTTTTTCTAGTGAAAGAAAATGGCTTTAATTTCTGATAATGGATGATTTTATGGGCTCCATATCATCTTCCTGGAATATTATTTTGAGTGAAAACCACTTTTTTTGAAGGTCATGATTATCCCAAGGTAGAATGAAGGAGTATATGACTAATGGAAAAGGGAAGTAGGGGGGGGACATAATTATGTATGGAATTATGACTCCACATTATCTCTAAAGTTGGTACTTAGATGGGAATAAAATTTGGAAACCAGACTGGTTGAACAGGTGGAATGGGGAATACAGAATCCTACACTACTGTTGCCTTGGGAGACCTCTCACCCCAGGATATGAAGAGGAACCTACTCTGAACTGTGAATCCCATTCAATTACAAAGTTCCATTTTGCTCCACTTTCTATAATAAGATTCTACTGCTAAATGGTAGCCTTGTCTTTCATGTAACAACTGTATGCATAGTAGACAAAACCATTATAGTTAGGTGCAATAAAAATTTTAAATCTCATTACAATAGAATAGGAATCCATAAACGACCCTCTCAATTTTCCCATTTGTTTGAAAAAAACATCGTGAATTCTTTCATCAGCTGCAAAGACAACTCCTTGATAGCTTCATATATTACTCATGATTTTTTCTTTAGGAGATTTGTCCCCATTTTGGACCTTTTTGTGGATTTTGAAGCTCAGACAAATCATAATATTCTCCAGGATATAGAATCAATTAAAAATGAAGACAAGTCATTTGCAGGTAACTGGATGAAACTGGAGAACATCATTTTAAGTGAAGTTAGCCAGGCTCAGAAAGACAAAAGTGACATGTTTTCTCTCATATGTGGAAGATAGATCCAACACAAATACAATCTTTGTCATATATCCTTATAAATATATGCAGAACATGTTTCCAAAAGTGGAACTGTCATAGGAGAGTAAGGGAAGAGGAAAAGAAGAAAAGAATGATGGTGGATAATAATGAAATATATCACATCTGTGTAGGAACAAAACACAACTAAACACACCAAAACTGTTGATCACTAGGTGGTAGGGGGAAAAGAGTGAGGAAGGGCAGTGGAGGGGGTTAGACTGATTTAAGTGCAATGTATTTACAGATAAAATACCAAGGCAAAATCCCCACTGAACAATGAACAGACACTTAAACAGTGAAGAACAGGAATGTAAAACAGATCATGTTAAGCAAAAGGCAATAGTGGGAGGAGGAGGATAAATGAAGAGAGTAAAGGATGAATATAGTTGAGGTACTTTCTGTACATGTATGAATATGGAACATTGAAACATGCTGAAGTCACTTTAAGGAGAGGAATGGGGTAGAAGTGAGAACAATGGAGGGGATGAACCAAATCAGGGTATAATGTATATACATACGGAAATGTTACAACGAAACCCCCTGTATAACTATCATATGCTAATAAAAATGTTCAAAAAATGAAGACAAGTAAAAACAAAATTATTAATTATCCAATAAATTATCTTCCCTAACTAAAGTAAGAGCAGAATCATTTTCGGTACCATTTAGTTCAAAGTGTGATTCTACAGTGTTATATCTTGTGTTGTTTTATCATATATATGTATGTATAAATGTAGCTTTATATTATATCTTGTTACTCATCAAGTTTCTGGTCTTTGAAGATCAGGCAGTGGGATTCAGGAAAACTTCAGTATGAATACTGATTTATAGGTTTATAATTCCCTAATAAATAAAGTATGCTGGCATATGCCTGTAGTCTCAGTACTCACGAGTCCTACTTAGCAGGACTCTGCCCCCACCATCAAAAAATAAAAATAGAAAAGAGCCAAACTTAAAGAGAGTAGAAATTCATTCATTCCCTAACACAACAACCATGAAAAAGACAGCTTATACAATGGGTAGACCACAGGTACAGTACAGTTGTGCACTGTAAAGATGAAGATGAGCTCTCTTCCCTGAAGGCTTATAGCAGATTGGTGAGATGACAGTGGGATTGTATTGGTGATGAATAAGTTCTGCCTCTGCTGACTGAATTGTGTGCTTGCAATATCCAGTGCTTCACTGGATATTGGTGCCTTGGGCTGCTTGAGGAGTGTCTTGTTCCTTGGTAACTGTGAAATGTCTGACATAGCATCAGAGGATAAAGGAATGAAAGGATGAGACTGAGGGGAGGAAGGAAATGTGAGTGGTCTGACCTACCTGCAGAAGTTGCATGTGGGGTTGGAGGAAAGAAGAGACAGGGGAATGGTGAAGATGACTTAGAAATTTAGTGACGAGCCAGCTCATGATGGGTCTTCTATGATCTATGATTTGTTGGTACATTTAAACTTTAACCTGAGAGCAACTGGGAGATATTCAAAGATTTCAGGCATGGAGATGGATTCATTGGAATTGCATTCTGTAACATGCTGAAAGTGTGTGGAGGATGGACTTGAGGTGAGTATTGTGGGAGCTGAGTATCTCAACTTCAGTATTATTGATCTGTTGAAGTGAGCATTTCTTTATTGGGGCACTATCTTGTGCAGTGTAGAATGATTAGCAGCATTCCTGGCTTCTACCTAGTAGATGCTAATAGTCCTCCACCAGCCTTGAAAATCAAAAATAACTCTAGATATTGCCAAATGGTCCCTGGGGAACAAAATGGATCTCTGGGTAAGATTACTGGATTGGAGGTCCAGAGACCACACAGTTACCATTGCAATAACCCAGATGGATTGAGAGTAGGAGGAGGCATCAGATTAAAGGTAAAGTGGAAGGATTGTGCAGACAGGGCCACCTGCTATGATTACATAGGTATATAGCCATGGTTTGCACACAGTCTTTGTCCTGCCCTTGACTTTGAGAAACTGAGTAAAAAATTTCAACCTCTTTACTTCAAATACAAGACCATTTAAGTGACATGTCAGCATCACATGAGAATCCATGGCAAAAAAAAAAAAAGATTGTATTTTGATGTTGGAGCCATTGAGAGAGTTATATACACTGCTATTGTTTTCCTGAGCATCAAACTGTTACTGTTCACTTTTGATGTCAGTGTTCCCCATCTCCATACAATAGCTCAGATTCTTGTTTGGGGGAGTTTCAAATCATACATTTGGAAAATGGATTCACAAACAAGTCAACATTGGAAGCTCAAGTCCTGTTAAGGTTGTCTGATTAGGAATCTTTTAAAAAATCAACTTAGTAGAAATAGAATGGTCTTCACCTGGCCCTTGGAATCTCCATCTACATGAGGTCATGGGAAGGTCCTGGCATTTTGTCTCAGATGAGGTGGTATCCTTGATGTTGTCATGACTCTCTGAGATCATAACCACCTCTTTGACAAGTTCTTTACTTCCCTTTTTTATTAGTGCATATTAATCATACAAAGGAGTTAGCCTGTGGTGTTTCACACATGCATATACTGTACATTGATCCAATTAACCCCCTATATTGCTGTCTCTTTTCCCTCTCTCCCTCCCCCTATTTTTTAACAGCTTTCAGTGAATTGCCATCTTCATACATGACACAGTGTATTTTGGCATTGTCCCCCCCCCATCATTCTCTTTCCCTCTCTTCCCCCATCAGTCCCCCAATTACAGTCCTGGTTTTGTATATGTTAAGTCTAGATTCCACACATGAGAAAGAATATGCCCTGAACCTGACTTACTTCACTTAACATGATGAACTCCAGTTCCATTCATTTTTCTACAAATGCCATAATTTCATTTTTTATGGGTGAATAATACTCCATTACACATATATTATATATAATATTCATATACACATATATA